TATATATTCTCTCTCTATCTAAATATCAACTTTTAGTTTAAAAATCAGCTAAATACATTCTAGGTGAATCAAAACAAAAAAGGTCCCTGCCAGCATACTGCACATTGGGACCGTTGCTCTCTGAGTGGAGGCAGTGGTCTCCCTGTAGAGGTTCAACACACCCCAGGCTAAGTGAGAGCTCTTCAAATCACCATAAGCTTTGCTAAATGGCGAGCTGTAGCTCTGACTCCGTATGGGATGCGTCTGTCCTCGGCAGGAAGACCACTGCTTCCACACATGGATCAAGGATTCCTCTACAGCAAGCTGGCAGGGAAAATGTTTCAGCTGCTTAAGGCTATAAAGCTGTTTATTTTGATCCACCTGAAATATGTTTTTACGGATTTAAACTGAAAGTTCAACTGGGCATTAAAGGAGAACTATGGGGTCAGTGTTTTTCCCCATAGTTCTCCTTAGGGTAACGGGAGGACACAAACTAGCGTCCTCCCGTTACCCTAAGCTCAGTATACCGCGAGCTACAGCTCGAGGTATACTGAGACGCCGCAGCCGGAGCGGATCCCGACGTAGATGACGGGATCCGCCCAGCTGCGTGAGTGACAGCTGGCTCTGCCTATCTAGAGGCAGAGCCAGCTGTACCCGCCCCCACCCCCGTCTGTTCCGCCAGTCAGCGCTGACAGATTGGAGTGGGGAGAGGGGAATCCAGCCCCACCCCCTGTCACGGCAGAGAGCCGTGACAGGATCGAGAGGTGAGCGAACCTGGTATGTGTTCGCTCACCTCCCGATCTACTGAGCCGACCTGTGACAGTCTCATTGTCACAGGTCGGCTAGAACTATGAGGTGAGTGAAAAGCACTCACCTCATAGTTCTCCTTTAACCAACTTTCCTTGCCAATGTTTACAGAGAAGTCTGAACAAAGACTTAATTCTGTACCCTAAGACAGTTATTACAGCCAAATTGCCTTTCAAATAGCATAGAGATGATAAAGACATGCTGCCAATCACAGTAAGCATAAAGAAACCTCCACCCTTATGGTGACAGTCATTTCTCACTCCTCTCTGCAAATGTCAGTCTGATGACACTTGGACAGAAGACCTGAGCTATGTCTAGGACTAGACCCAGATATTCCAACACTAATTTGTGAAGGTTCAGGACCCAGCCAAGACTCTGCAAGGACTAAAAGGACAGGGGTCCAAAACCTGGTGGACTATTCCCTCAGCAGGAGGTCACCTAGATATCAGACAATGGGAATGCCTGAGAGCACAATAAGGCCAGCACCTTGGTGAATATGTAGAGTGCTGAAGATAGGTCGAATGGTAGGGCTACAAACTACAAGTGCAGAGGACCTACAGCAAAGCTAAGCAACCACTGAACGGCTGGAAAAATGTAGACATGCAAGATTTATGTTCTTGATGTCAACAGAGGCAAAAAGTCTCCATGATGAAGGGAGACCATCACAGATCCGGTGGATTCCATGCAGAATTTCTGGGCCCAATTGAATAACTTTAGAGCTTGAGATCCAAGATGGGGTTATTGCACCTTTATGGTTTGGGAACATTGAACAGGTTGGAGCAGAAGGCCTGAAACAGTTTTGCCACAGGAACTGAGGCCATGCCACCCTGCTCGAGAAGACTTGCTAGGGCTGCATAGATCTCTAGTAATATGTGCAGTGACAAAGGCAAATTGGAAGTAATGAACTGGAGAGGAGCCTGGAAGCTAAATTCTAGCTTGCAATTCCTGAAAAACCACCTCTAGCACCCAAGCAACTGTGATGCAGTGCGTCCAAGTATAAGCAAAGGCTAATAGATGTCCCCCCCACTTTAAACAGTGGGGGCAGACTTTAATGCTGAATACTTATCTGAAGGTCTGGGGGACATAGAGGTCCAAGATTTGAGGGCAGACTGGGTGCTAGACTTAAGAGTTTGAGGGTGGGGCAGAATTAAATAGACTTTTCTTGTCCTCTGTCGAAAGGCGAGTTATGCCAGACTGAGCCCTTGGCTCCTTTGGCTGTGGAAAATCAGTACTGTTACCAACAGTGGCATCTTTGATAAGGGCATCTAGGAAAGCCTTAAAAAGGCATCCCTTAAAGGTGACGTGGAGCAAGCACTTGTTGCATGCAACCTCTGTAGCCCAACGATATAGCCAGAGAGTCCTCTTAGTCAACGACTGGAGACTAATACTGGAGAGGTGGGGAAAGACCAACAACTCATAATTCCAAAAGATGTCACCAGCACTCCAGAAGTAGATTCAATATATTTTAATGACAACGGTCATTCAAAATCGCAAGTACTTTCGGGGCCACGTTGGGTCCCCGTCATCAGGCTCAGAATCATTCTGAGCCTGATGACGGGGACCC